GAGTGGTGTTAACGCCACCCCAGATAGGTCAGTAGCTACTCACTGTCCGGAAGGTCCATGGTTCGAACCCAACCCTGGCTTTTCGATTTCCTCTGTCTAGATTTAAGCGACCTGACAGGATGCTCAGCCCCCGTCTTTTCTTCTATTTGCACGTCAGCTATGTACCGGGAAGGACCACGGCTAAACGGTTACTATTATTATTACTATTTATTATGTCGTTTCATCCTGTGGCTCGACTTTATTGTCACCTGCGACGTATCCCAATAACTGATGTAATGTGGGTCCTACCTTTCGTGGGGCCTACCTTTCGGTGTGCTGAGTGAGAATTGGTATTAGTGAAATTATCTGTTTTACTTGCTACCCGGTTTCTAAATCTAATCCAATGGTTTATGGACTCTCTTGGAAAGTAAATCCGCCAGAAAACTCTCTGTCTCCAGTTAAAGGAGGTTTTTTCCTCGACAAGTGTTGTAATATCCTTGCTCCCCTCCCATGATGTGTCCTTCCCGTGTTTTGTCCTTGTGGAAGGCTGTATGGCTTCCTATGGACTTATAAATTCTCTTCTGGATTCGCTCTTTCAGGCGATATTGGTCTGATGCACACCGATGGCTGTCTATCAATTATCGATCGCAAGAAGGACTTGGTCAAGCTGCAAGCGGGCGAGTACGTCTCGTTGAGCAAGGTCGAGTTGGCCTTGGCGCAGTCGGTCTACGTGGAACAGGTGTGCGTGTATGCTGATGCGAGCCAGCACTACACCATCTGTTTTGTTTCCCCCAAATACACAGCCCTGATGGAATTGGCCTCTTCACTTGGGCTCGAACACCTGGCAGAAGAAGCTCGGTTGGCCTTGAAGTCTAATGACAGACAAAACCCTTCGGCCGTGCAGAGTGCACAGTTGGCGTGTCTCTGCAAGTCTCCTCAGGTATGTTCTAGCTATTTGATTCACTGCTGTGGGTTCCCACCTTTCTTTTTTTGTAACTCTACGTTTAGCCATCTTCGATTCGCACTCCCGTTCAGCCCTAGCAACAATGTGTAGACCGCGATGCTTGACATCAGCACGTTTTCCTCTCCAACTGAGCGTGGCTTTTCTAGGGTTTGTCTCATGCTATTTTGCCGGTCTCTATCGCTCGATCTGTATGCGTTTCCCCGAATGAATCGTTGCTCGCGTTTTCCTGTCGTCGTTTCCGGTCCGCCCACGCATGTGCGTATGATGGCTTCCGCGGCTCTTCTGATTGGTCAGGCGGTCGTTTGGCTGAACGAATCGCCTTTCGATTGGTGTGCCAAGCTCAGGCACGTCCCGAGTGAACCGTGCTAGACCGACGTCACGCAAGTGCACGCGCACCGAAATAACACCATTCCGAAAAGTGTGGCGTGATCTCCACGTCATCAGTCATGCGATTCCGCTTTGTTTTCCTTGCCCTCTGGTCTGAGGCCCGGTAACAAACAGCTGTCAGACGTTTACGTCAGCAACACTTCCAGTGTTAGTTTCTAACGCAGACGGCTGCGGACAGACCAATCCACGTACAGCAACCCCCCATCCGCTGGAACACCGACGAGTCTAAACTGTTTTCTCAGTGGAAGAGGTCTCTTTGTGAGCATATTTGTAGCTGCATTCAAACGTTTTCGAACATCCCTCGTGAGGGCGGGATGGATTTTTCAACTTCGTCTAAAATGAATGCTCCAGCGTTCAACATTATTACATAACCACGATTCACACAACAGAGTGAGTCTGTCAGCTCGGCCATAAAACACCACAGGTCTAAGTTAACTGGACCACTGGTTAGGGGCGAATTTACTGACAGGTTCAAACCCGACCTCACTACCTCGACTGCTCCTGTCTAGGCTTGGGCAACCTAGCAGTATCTCAGATCTCATGGTAGTTAGGTGGTATCTCCAGTCTTTCCTGCTATTCTCCATGCGACAACACTTTGGCCGAGTTTTTCATCGTTTCAAGTAGCGATGGACGGTCGTTAGTGGTAGATGAAAGCGGCAAACTTTTCGCCTGCTGACTACCACTCATCCAGTGTAACGTTTTTTTGCGCTCAAAAGATGTGCTCCTGACATTTTGCCCGAATATCCGAACGATTTTATGCGGCTGCGGTTGAAACAAAAATCGACACACGCACACGGAGTTCAAATTAAATTAAAAAAAATAATAGTGAGTCCCCCTTAATTTTGTGGAATAAGATTCCTTATTCAAAACATTACCCCGCCCGGAACTGCCCGCTTCTTCAGGGGGCGAGGTGGCTCAGTGCTTAACTGCCCGGAAACTCCATATTTCGAACCCAACGTCTGTCTCTCCTGTCTTCCCCTGTCTAGACTTAGGCATCTTGGCAGTATCCTAGCCCCCGTGCTTCCTTCAGGTGGCATGGATGGCAGGCACCGAAAGGGTGCTATAGCTGAATGATTTTTAGAAAAATTTAGTCCCCCGTCGTATTGCCTTGCTAACATCATTGTCCTTCCTACTTCACAGATTGCGGCAGCCGTGCTCAAGGACCTCCAAAGAGTCGGAAGAGAAAAGCGACTGACCACGTTTGAAATCCCCAAGAAGGTCCACCTGGATCCCATGTCATGGACTCCGGATACCGGGCTCGTTACTGATGCTCTCAAACTGAAACGATTCAACCTCCAAGTTCGATTTCAGCATGAAATTGATCGCATGTATGAAAAATCCACTCGAACCTGAGAATTTTTTTAAACAAGTCCCGTCACCATTGGTGGTGTGCTTGACGCAGCTGTTCTCAACTATAGCCCACTTTTTAGCCTCACTCGATTGTTCGGAACACCATCCCCGTTTGGGACCTTTTGTCTCGTTCTGTTGATTTCTCTGCGAGTCATCTTGCTCTCTCCTCTCTCTCTGTATGTCACCTACCCTCACCTTTCTCTACTTGGGGAGCATAATTGATCTGTCTATCTTACTGTTCCAAGGTTACCTTTCCACCGGCGAGGGTGGCCATTTGTGTTTTTTTCTCTATTTTTATTCCATTGATTTTTCATCGATAGTTTTCCAACTATCCGTTCATCGTCGCACGCACACGTCTTGGCTTGAGCCCCGTCGCCACTTTTGGCCTTGATCAACATTCGACCGATTTTTCTTGTTAACTGTGCTCTATTCAGGTTCTTCCGTGTGTTCTTCGTCCCCTATGCCAGATGTATCATCTCCTCCGGACAACACTGTGCCAGTACTCTGCTTATTTTTGTTTGTGGACCATATCTTCATTCGGGAATCTCCATTGCCATGGACGTACTCTCGCGCACATCCAGCCCACTGTTGCTGCTGTTCTGCCGCCCCCCTCCATCTATCCATCCATCCATCTAAGCCTTGTGTACCACTCCCCACGCTCATTGTCATTGCTGTGTTTCAGCTCTGTGTGTGTGTGTATCTTGAAGCACGACTATCCGTTCCACTCTACTGTGTTATTTAACATCCTGAAGTCAAACTGGTCGTAAGTTAGCTTAAAGTATTCTATAGAGATTTCATCCTGTCACACCCTTTCGGTGCCTAGCTGTCATGTCACACGAGGGCAGCGATCCTGCCAAGTTGCCCAAGCCTCCTAGACAGGGGAAGTCGAGAAGCAGAGGTCGGGTTCGAACCTTCCGGTCAGTAAATTCGCGCTCTAACCACTGAGCTATCCTCCCCCTTCATTCTGTCAATCTATGCTAAAAGAAAGCCGAGAGGCATCGTGTAACTGTTCCATTCCTCTTGGAAATCATCAGCATTGCGCAGTAGGGAGTCTCGAAC